TCTTTCTTTCCTTCTTTCTTTCCTTTCTTTCTTTCCCTTCTTTCTTTCTTTCTTTCTTTATTTCTTTCTTTCTTTCTTTCTTTCTTTCCTTTCTTTCTTTCTTTCCTTTTCTTTCTTTCTTTCCTTCTTTCTTTCCTTTCTTTCTTTCTTTCCCTTCTTTCTTTCTTTCTTTATTTCTTTCTTTCTTTCTTTCTTTCTTTCCTTTCTTTCTTTCTTTCTTTCCTTTTCTTTCTTTCTTTCCTTCTTTCTTTCCTTTCTTTCTTTCTTTCCCTTCTTTCTTTCTTTCTTTCTTTCTTTATTTATTTCTTTCTTTCTTTCCTTTCTTTCTTTCTTTCCTTTCTTTCTTTCTTTCTTTCTTTTCTTTCTTTCTTTCTTTCTTTCTTTCTTTCCTTTTCTTTCTTTCTTTCTTTCCTTTTCTTTCTTTCTTTCTTTCTTTCTTTCCTTTTCTTTCTTTCTTTCTTTCCTTTTCTTTCTTTCTTTCCTTTTCTTTCTTTCTTTCTTTCCTTTTCTTTCTTTCTTTCCTTTTCTTTCTTTCTTTCTTTCTTTCTTTATTTCTTTCTTTCTTTCCTTTTCTTTCTTTCTTTCTTTCTTTCTTTATTTCTTTCTTTCCTATTCGTTCTTTCTTTCTTTCTTTGCTTTCCTTCTTTCTTTCCTTTCTTTCTTTCTTTCTTTCCTTCTTTCTTTCTTTCTTTCTTTCCTTTCTTTCTTTCTTTCCTTTCTTTCTTTCTTTCTTTCTTTCGTTCTTTCTTTCTTTCTTTCGTTCTTTCTTTCTTTCGTTCTTTCTTTCTTTCTATCTTTCTTTCTTTCTTTCTTTCTTTCTTTCTTTTCTTTCTTTCTTTCTTTCTTTCTTTCTTTCTTTGCTTTCTTTCTTTCTTTCTTTTCTTTCTTTCTTTTCTTCGTGTTTTTTCTTGTCTTTCTTGTCTTTCTTTCTTGTTTCTTTCTTTTTTTCTTTCTTTCTTTTCTTTCTTTCTTTTCTGTCGTGGTTCTTTTTCTTCTTTCTTTCGTTCTTTATTTTCTGTTTCTTTCTTTTCTTTTCTTTCTTTTCTTTCCTTTCCCTTTCGTTTTCTTTCCTTTGTATTTCTTTCTCTGTTCTTTTCTTGTCCTTGTTTTAATGTAATGTAATGTAATGTAATGTAATGTTATGTTATGTTATGTTATGTATGTATGTATGTATGTATGTATTGTTTTTCCCGCACTGGTGGTGTGATTTTGTTTGTTTGGCGGTTGAATTGTGGCGATTGGTGGGTGAGTCGTGGCAACCAGTGTCAATGGTTTATTCGATTCAGGTGGTGTGCCCGCAGTTTCAAGCTTTGAAGAGGTGCAGGGGTGCTGTTGCACAAGGGGCAAAATAAACGAGAGTCCATCTCAATAAACATGCGTTAGTTGTTCGAACAATTTTATATGTTTGGAACACAACCAGACAATGACAAAGACAAAGGCAACATATTGTGACAGGCTGCTGCTGCAGCTGCTCCAGCTACTCCAGGTGCCAAGGCGGGTGAACAGTCCCTTGGTTCGCATTCGAATGGTAGTCATTGTATCTAATATCATTCCTCATCCATGTTTATATATACTAGTGTTTTCATTTGTATCTATATTTAGATTTGCATTTGTATCTATATTTCCCCAACGGCGTAAGCCAAATTGAGGAGTGTGAACCTCTCGCAGAACGTGGGGTGTGCGCCTGGATTTCGCTGCATGTGCCTTGTCTCCAATCCTGCGCCTGGTGGTTTTTGCCGTGGCTTACCAGTGCTCCCCTTTTAGTTTTGCGTGGCGAGTCTTGACCAAGAGCACAGGTCTTTGACCAGTGAATTTGGCATCGAGCACAATGGCCAGACTCTGAGCCTGATCTTTGAGGAGTCCCCAGTCAGGTGAAAAAACAACTCAGCTGATCAGCATTTCAGTGCAGAAAAGTCGGTCCTTGGATCCCAGGTGAGTACAAACGAGTGCCAACCCCGCAGCTCCCACCGCGCTTTGATCAACGTCCCGTGTGGGAATGGGGTTGCCCAGCCAGAGGCCGGTGCTGAGTTGGTCAAAACCAATGGAGCTTTGAGTTTGTTGACAAGAGAGAGAGAGAGAGAAATACATAATATATATATATGTCAATTAAAAACCATTAAAATTTTGTTTAATAAGTATAAACTATAATGACTTAACAACTTATGAAAATCATTAAACATATATTCTGTAAAGGTTGTAAATTCATGTTAATTCAATGAAAGTGGACTCTGAAAGTCGCTGAAAGTGTGATGATCTTTTTATGGCCAGGCACGATGACAGCCCAGGGCAAGTGCAAACCGCCAAAACCAGGTGGCCGCAGCTTAACTGGACGATATTCACATGGGGATTGAATCGCTAAAAGTGGGGCTTATTAGCCATCTATAGCCATCTATTCATGGGGTATATTGGGGTGGTCACCTTTGGGTTGGTTGAATCCCCAATGAACCTTCCAAACTACCCTTGGGAGGGAACGGCTTCCGATGGGGTGTCCGGCAGGTGAGGAAGCTGACGCAGGTGCAGCCTTTCTGAAATCGCCCTTGCTAGTGATACCCTCTGGTTATTTAACATAGCCATGGGAAATGGCCCATTTATAGATGGTTTACCTATTAAAAATGGGGATTTTCCATGGCTATGTTAAATAGCCAGATGGTATCTAGTGACTAGCATCTGCCTGCTGGCGAATTTTCTTGTCAGCCTGCTGGATCTGGACTTGGCATTGGAGGCATGTGCTGGTCCCAGGACTCAATGATTGTGGGAGCCCAAGTATCCACTTGTGAGACCAGAATGGAGCTGGACTATTCAAGTATAATTTCCAATGTGAATAACTTGCATGAACATGCAGGATGAAAGGTCTGAAGTTAGGCTTTTCATCGCTATTCTAGTCTCGGTCCCTGGAGTGCTCTTTGGATCAGTTATATATATATATATATATGTATATGTATATGAATATGTATATGTATATGTATATATATATGGAACACTATTGATACAAAGTTCCATAGGACCTGATTTGCACAGCATTGCTACCATGTCAAGACGTCAGGCAGGGCCAAAGACTCCCTGCGGAAGCGATGGAGACAAGTCCCCTGGCTCTAGATTTGGTCTCTCAAGATGGATGTGTTTTGTTCTACAATGGTTGGAGAAGTTGAGGAATCCATTGTGCTACCTTGTTTTTTGCACTTCTCAGTCTATTCAAGCAACTTCAGGAAGAATTCTTGGAGTGCATGTTTACAAGCATCATTTCAAGAGCGCGATGTTCTTTCTGGCACCTGACACATTTCCCAAAGTGTCAGTTGTTTGGGTTGCACACATAGACACACTTTCGTCTCTCACCTTCGCCTCAGGTGCATGTGTGTGAAGCCAGTGGCCAGTGATGGGTCCGTGGGTTACGGGTTGCTCGTTTGAAGAGCATGGTCCGGGCAGCGATTGCATTCCAAAGATGGACTGACCGAAGATACAGAAGAACTACCATGTAACATCATGTAACCAAGCAATTGTTTGAAGTCAGCTTTTCCGAAACAGAAAAGCGGTTTTGGTCGCAGCATTTTTAGTGCGCTCTTCATGGTGTTCTGAGGAACAAAAGTCGGGAGATCCTGCCAGAATACACTGAAGGTGATTCTGGAGATTACGGAGCCCCAATTGTCCCGTGCCGGCCGTGCCGCGTTTCGCCTATCGCATTTTAAGCGTTTCGCCTATGGATGTGGCATGAAGTTTCCCCAGTTGCGCAGGAGGAGTTGAGGTCGTCATGGGTAACTTCCAAGTGCAGCCCATGCCGCATTGCTGGAAGCTCAGTGCGCCTGCTGGAATGATGACATGTCGAAAGGGTGAATGGAAGGAGTCAAAAGGTACAGGGACTGTTTGGCATTTGAAACACTACATCATTGTTCCATCGTGCGTGTGGAGCTGTTCACGAAAGCTAGCGGTAGCTAGCTGGAGTTACTCTTGCTTCAGCAAGGGGAGTCCAACACAGTGATTTTTCACTCGGAACCACCCCCCAAGCTCCCGGGGCATTTTGAAGCGGTCTTGGAAGCAGATGGTCACGGGCTCAAATCCTGCCAGGTCTCTAGGCAATCTGTATTCAGCATATCAAAATCCTCATTTTCCAGGCTTAAAAACCCTTAGCTTTCGTTCACGTTTCTTTGGGCCTCAAGCAACAATTTCATCCATGATTATCCACTGAGTGACCTGCGAAATGACTTCTTGTGGCTTGTTGGGCTGTTTCCTCTGAGCTGAAGGCGATGATTGCTTGGCTTTGAGCGCACACTGGGACTGGGTTTGCGCATGACTGAAATTGTATGATTTTCCGGGAAACGAGCCACTCAACCCCGGAACAACATGGAACAATGCCAAACAAACTGCCAACCATAAGTTGATCGTGATCCTATCACTGTATTGCAAGTTCTCTTTAAAGGGTTTGTCAAGCATGCTGATTGATCACATTATCCACGATGTTGTGCTGGGACAAACTCCTGGTTGTGCCCTATTTCACAGCCAAGGTCGTTTGAACCAGAGGATTGAAACATGAGATACTCCTGTCAAATTGGGGAACAAGGATCCATCCCAAGCACTTTATTAAAACTTTTCTCAGACCTAACCACAGCATGTGCGGCCCTGTGCGGCGCCAGGATGATTGCGGCCAGTGCGCGAACTGCATCTACGGCACCAAAGTCTTGGATGGCCGGCCGCACCTTGACTCAATCCTCGGTCCTCATCTTCCAGCTCCCAGCTATTCCCAGCTTTCCTGCTGTCACTTCATGTCACTTCATGTCACTTCACATCCCTGAGGACTCTGGCCTGTTATGACAAGAATTTCCAGGCCGTGGCCATGGTCAGTCAGTAGTGTTCTTGCTTTGTGGTGCAAATCACTCACATTTTCTGACTTGGCACATGATTTTAATATATTTTATTTCCGTATACATTCAAACTGCTTGCTATAGTTGCCAAACTTCGACCGGGCACGCAACTATTATGTTCTGATTTGGATGTGAGTTCCAACTAGTATGCCTTGACTCCACCAACACGCGAGTTCTTTAAGAAACAAATACAGAGCGCAGCCACTGTGCACAAGGTACGGCTGATTGTCTTGCAACGTCAGAATATTTCCCAATATTCTCGATTTTACACCCTATACTGTTTTGAACATGCTTGCAATAACTCAGAAATGCACGAGCAAGGGCTACAGGAAACGCCTAAAGTTCGTCCTTGGAAGACAGAAAAGTTCTCTCTTTTGCAATGGTGAATCAACCACATGCTGCACACCCTGCTGTGTGTCCTTGCTTGTCAGCCTCCACAACAGCCTACGCCGACAGAAGAGCCACCTAAGGCACTGGCACTGGATCACCGCACTGTCAAAAGTTCGGAGTCACCAGTGTATATATATATAGATTGTTCTCCTACAGAGACCAGAAGCTTGCAAGCTGTATTCTTGTTCCGGGGCCCCCCAGTCGTTTTGAAGTCAAAAAGAGCGCTGGTGACAATTTTTGAAGAGGCACTCTTGAACCACAAGCACTTCCTGACATGGCGGCACTTGATTGTTGAAACCTTCAGGATGATTATCAAGAAAAAGATCACATTCTGCTCAAAGGACAGGAGCCCATCGAGCAGGTGCCGCTCTCAGCTTTTCAAAAAGAGGTGTTTCTGGTTTTCAGGATGTTTCAGGTCGAATTGCCGTCGAATAGCTTCACATTTCTTCAGAAGTTCCAGTTTCACCAGTCTTTGCTGTGCTCTGCAGGACTTATGGGTGATCCCGCAATACCCTTTGTGCCTGGGCTCTGATTGGCTTGATGCCCAACTTAGTGTGGCACTGGTATCATGCGATGACTGGAGGTGGGATCCACAGCCACCGGGAGTCGAGCAAGAAGCGCCAACCAGCTTGGCACTCGGTCCATGTCGATGCTTTCTTTTCCAGAGAGGCTGAGAAACTTCGGCAATTCTTTTGGTGGGTGGCCGATGGGTGGCCGATGGGTGGCCGATGGGTATGTTTAGCTGTGCCAAGGTGGTCAGATTTTCCCCTTCCAGATGAGCACAGAGCCGTTATCCAACGAGGTGGGCCGGGCGTTTCTTCGCATGGCTGCATCATCTTGGAGAAACACGACAAAGTGAGTGGACAGTGGCTCCAGTGAATGCTAGTGAATCCGTGGATTTCTGGATTGATGGGGATATTTTGAGGGTTTTTGGCTTCCTTTGGCATCAACCAGATGAAGCACAAGGCATGGGTGAAAGCTTACAAGGCTGCTGCCCCAAGGATCCAGTTCCTCGCTCAGTCTGCGGATGGGAAATTTGACTCCTGCTTACATCGGGACCAGAAAGCGGTCAACATGATCTCTCCTTGCATTTTAGATCACGGTAAGGGTGTTCACTCCCTGGTGTTTAAGGTGTGGATCCAGTTCTCGTTTGGCCACATTTGGCTCTAGTTGCGAGCTTTCTTGACCCGCTGCTTTTGGAACAGCTGGTA